TTCAGACCATGCCTGTTCAGTCCCTGGGTCTTCCGATGTAGGTAAACACAGTGGCTATCATCTGGCACAGCAAAAAAGGGGTTGTTGTTGCTGCTGCTGCTACTTCTTTTATCTTGCTTTACCTCCAAGAAATCCAGGGGGACACACGAAACACACACTTATGGTTGCTCCCTTCCCAGTCCTCACGATACCCCTGTGAGGTAGGTTAGGTTAAAAGAGAGGTACCGGCTGACCCAAGGTCTCCCAGGAAGCTTTGTGACTGAGTAGTGATTTGAACCAAGGTCAAAATGTAGAGTTCTCTTCCATACACCACAATGGCCTTCTTTTTTGACATTCACTTGGGCTGTGTGGATGGGTCATTTTCTCTCTCCAGAGACTGGATTATGGTATGGTAAAGTACCATCACCCTCAATATGTTGGCGTCCTTGCAGTGGTCTTGCAGTGAGAGATATATATATATACATATATCTCCTGACCTGCTGTGGGTCTCTTGGACCAGATATATGTCCACAGAACATGTCGTATGCCTTCTTTCGGGTCTCGAAAACAACCAGAACTTCCATTGTCTCTGCTTTGCCTCCATCTGTGTGGTGTCGGAAGAACGGGGTGTCTGAGGAACGGAGAGGCTGCTTTCTTGCTCTCTGGGATGATGGTTAGGATTGTGAAAAAATAGATCCCTGGGTTGGGAGGATGAATGGAAAAGCAGCTGGGTGTTGCTCCCCCCCTCCTGGTCTTGTGCTCCTGGGCCGAGAGCAGGGAAAGAGGATCTCTGCGCACTCAGCTAATAGGTTGCAGCGTGCAGAGTCTCTGTTCTGCGAGGGCAGGCTTTCCTTGATGCAAAGCAGTCTCTCGGCCCCTAATTATGGCTTGGAGGATTCTCTCTCCCCCCCCCCTTTAGGCGGGAGGTGGCTTGCGGTGGCTGGATCCCGCTTTCAAAAAGCCTTTCATGTCAGAGCTGATGTTTTTGCAAGTGCCTGGCCTTGGCTCATGCCAAGAAAGCAAAGCGCCAACCCCTTTTCTGTCTGGACAGGAAATATTTTTTGAGTAATACATCCCCCTGTATGGCAATAAATTCCTTGATGGAAGAGAGGAGGAACTGATTTTCCTTAGCCTGGAGGTTTGCTGACTTTTAACGTTTGGAGTCCAAGGGGAATGAAGGAGGGGGGTGCTTGGGAGCTAAAAGGTTTAACCTTAAAGGCAAGGGGAAAATGAAAGAGGGAGGGAGGGAGATGGTGGCTCCCTCCCCAAACTCATCTTTGTCCGCACAATGTCTGTAGCCAGAAGAGCTGATGAGGCTTTTGTCAAAAGCGGGATTGGATTGAAGGCACTGCTGGGGGAGCAAGGGCCATAGCTTGGGGGTAGAGCATCTGCCCCACATGAAGGAGGTCCCGGTTCAATCCCCAGCATCTCCAGGTAGGACTGGGAGAGAGTCTGAAATCCTGGAGAGCTGCTGCCAGTCTGTGTAAGCAGCACTGAGCCAGATGGAGCCAATTGTCTGACTTAGGATGAGGCAGAGTCTTACGTTCCTTATCTCTATCTGTCGAGAGACTTGCTTGTCAAAATGTATTTGAACTCGGCTTTAGCGCATCCGAACACACTTGGCTCCCCAATGGCAAACAAGCGGGGTCCGCGTTTTCCATTGCCTTTTGAAAGAAGGCCTTGAGAAGAAATGAAATTAAAGGGTCCCGTCCCCCTCCTGCCACCTTGCAAAAGAGGCCCCGTTTATTGGTCATGAAATCCTACCCGTGTCAGAATTATAATTTCCCATCTGGAAAAAATGGCCTTTGATAAATGGAACTTTGCAGATCCCATTGCCTGTTCCTCTCCCGGAGAGAGTAAATTTCCTCCTCCTGCTGCTAATAAATTGATTTCCTGCCCATCATCCCCCATGCCTCTCCCTATTTATTTATTTTTGTATATAAAAAACTTCAGTTCATTTGAAAGTGGGACCCATTTGACACCTTCTTATCTTGGCTTCTCCAGCTTCTCTTTGCTGAAGAAAATAGGAAATCATTCAGTATAAAAGGACAGAGGTTTGCACTCTGCAATTTGACTAAAGGAGGAAATGAATCGGATCATTTGTAAGGGAGTTCCCAAATGCCTCCTGTCCTCCACCCCCTAAATACCGTAGTCCAAACAAAAGTTCAAGGCAAGTGTCCTCTTTCCTCTCAGGTGTTCTTTCACCTCAATAATTTATTTCTTAAATGGTGTTGGGGAGCATGCTACTAAAAGTCGATATGACTCTGAGCTCAATGTTGACGGAATATCTGTTTTGTGTTGTGTTGTGATTTGCAAACATCCCAAGCAACCTCAGCAGTGGTATAGTGAAAGGGTTTCTGCCAGAGACTGCAGGAGTCTTCCATAAATAAATGGTGTTTTTCTTAATTATTTGCTGTCATCGCAAACATGAGGGAGCTCTCCCCCCCTCCCCGAAGTAGGGTGGATGTGTTAAAGGAAAGTTACCTTGTGCATTCAAAGGATCAAAATACTGTAACATAGTGTTTACGATAATAAACCTTCCTTTAAACTATTGAAAGTTGCAAATTAAATAGGGGAGGAATGAGCACACAACATGCTCTCAAAGCATTGTTTTGGATCTCTGGGGAAGAGCTGGATTCGAATGCATGGCAGCGGGTGAAGCCAGTGTGGAAAGCTATTCTTTTGCGCCGCAGATCCGGTTGAATGGCAAGGTTAGGAAAGCAATGAGGAACCTCTCAAATTGGGTGAAACTGGGTGACTTCTCTCCTCTTGAAGGCAAACTTCTCTCTGGTTGATTTGCTTGGCTGTTCTGCAGGAATGAATCTGTCTGCAGGTAATACACCCAGCATTTGTAATTCAGGTGGGGGCGGAATGTATTTTGTATTGCTGTGTCCTAAACACAAGGAGTTTTAATCTGCTGAAATCACTTCAGAATACTGAGACTACAGCCTTAAAACAACAACACACCAAATGAAGAATTACTAGTAAATAAAAACATTTTTGGTCTTTTCGGTTGGCTTTTCAATGATAAAGGATGCAGTTTTGTGTAAATTTATTTCAGTGTAATCCCTGTTAGAACTTACCTATAAGTTAACATGTGTAGGGTCAGCTGTAGAAACAAGTGGCTAGTATCCCTGATGTTCACAAATGTATGAGTGTGGCTTTAATTTCTTCATACGCTACATATTAACGTTCAATTTAACTTACCATTTATCCATTGTTTGCAGACGCATAGAGCACAAATAGCTGGCTTTTGTCGAGTTCTTAATTTGTTTTTCACATGCACAAAGCTTTCTCTTTCTCTCACACTAATTGCTAGCAGGAAATCTTAATGGCTGGAATGGCATCTTTTCCCACTCATGAAAGCAATTTCCTATGAGCATATAGATGGTGGATCTTGACTGCAGCTATGCTTGTGAATCTCTTAGGCTTTGGATCATAATCTGGCGGCCGCAGAAGCCGTTAAATCTGAGCCCCACAATATACTACTCCCTGGCATATTTTGCATTAGTAAACATGTTCCATGGGTGAAATAAGAGGGTTCAAGTGAGAAGGCAATTGTGAATTACAAGACTGGTTAGAAAGAAAGACTATATTCCTGTGGCTACAACTGTGGGAGCCTGCCATTTGGTGTGTACGCTTATTCTGCTGAAGAGAGCGGGACTCACTTTCAAAAAACATGCATAGGATTGCACTATGAAAGGGCTAGTCAGTGTGCTGTCTGGATTCCAACTCTTGCCAGTTGCAACATGGCTAATGGTCAGTGATGCCGGTCGTGGCTGAAGCTGCTGGGAATTATAGTCAAAACATTTACTGAGCACCAGGTTGGGGAAGACTGTGCTAACAAATTAGCTGGATGCCTGTCGCTTGGCAAAATATCCTAAAACGTGTGCGTTTGCATGTCAATTTGCATAGATTTGCTCAATGGAAACTGCTTTTCTCTTTTTATTATTTGGGTGGGGGGGTTGCTTTTCAGGAAGTCTTTAGAGAGATTTAAGAGGTGAGATTAGTGTTCAGGTGGCTTCCAGTCTGCTTGTATAATGTCAAACAGCAAATGAGCTCTCTTGTAAACAAAGCTCCGGAATGGCTGATTAAAACCATTCGTATTTTATTTCAAATTTGGCATCATGACTAAGAAACCCACGCAATAGTATTTTTATTGTTATAATAGTAGTTATCAATTCAACTGCGAAAAGTGGTTTTTCATCCTGCTTTGGTTAATGAACAGGTACTAAGGCAGAGATGGGAAAGCCATTGCTTTCCTATCCTTGGCCTAAGATGTCTTAAAGGAAGTCAAGGAGTTTGTATGGAGAACCCATTCTGGTTGTTTGTGAGATCAGATTATCATCGGCGTGGAAATTTAAATCTGCGCTCAGTTGTGAGCAGGCTAAACATGCCTCTGTCTAACCTACTTCAGAGGGTGTGCCTTCAGATGGATAGCTTCCTGCATGCCTTCTCAGGTCTGCTTGGAGGGAACGGGATACAAATGATTATTGCCATATCTCTCTCGGATTGCAATGTGGTTTGTAATTGCTTAGAGTTCGTATTGTATTGAGAAAACACACACACACACACAATATATAAGTTTGTGTGTGCGTGCATGTTGCTGCTGATTTGAATATGCAACAATTAAAAACAGACCTGCAGAAATATTCAGCGTTCTCTCCCTAAACCCCAGAAAACACTGCCAGATCTACTGTAGGAATTAAGACATGGCCAAATAGCACCATCTTCTGGACATTTAGGGTTTGAGATCCATATTTCACTCTCCTCCACCAAAATTTATTTCTCCCCATAGCTGTTAATTTTTCCCTTTTCTTGCGAGGAATCCTATTCGGAATAAGGGAATTTCCATTAAAAAAAGGGAAACGTTGACAGCTATGTTTCTGTCTGTGACTTAAAATCTCTTTTTTGTGCCCTTGAAGTGTAAAACAATAAATATCTCCCCCCTACACTACCTTCATGTTGGTATATACTTGACTTAACGATCTAATGTGTATTTCTTTTCCATTGTTTTTTAGGTCTCCGACTCCAGTTCTGAAAAGTTGTTCAACACTGTTGCGAACAAAGGTAAGAGTATAATCTTCCCAGATCTGACTCCAGGGCTGCCTGCCTGCTGCATCACATCTTTGTATGTGCAGTCACAAATTAAACCAAAGGTTTTGTGCTCAGAATCTCCAGTATTTCCTGAGACTCTCCCAGCTGTTTGGTATTTTTGAGCTATTCTGCTGAAAAGTATTTTTTTAAACGTTAGAAATCTACACAACACACCAGCACCACACATATATTTTAAACATGATGGTGCCACTATAACAGTCATGGCTCCCCTCCAGAAAAAAAGACATCATGGGAGCTGTAGCATTATTAGGAGGCCCCTATCTGCGGGTGGCGCTGTGGGTAAAACCTCAGTGCCTAGGACTTGCCGATCATATGGTCGGCTGTTCGAATCCCCACGGCGGGGTGAGCTCCCGTCTTTCGGTCCCAGCTCCTGCCCACCTAGCAGTTCGAAAGCACGTCAAAGTGCAAGTAGATAAATAGGTACCGCTTTATAGCGGGAAGGTAAACGGCGTTTCCGTGTGCTGTGCTGGTGCTGGCTCGCCAGAGCAGCTTCGTCACGCTGGCCACGTGACCCGGAAGTGTCTCCGGACAGCGCTGGCCCCCGGCCTCTTAAGTGAGATGGGCGCACAACCCTAGAGTCGGACATGACTGGCCCGTACGGGCAGGGGTACCTTTACCTTTTACTATATCCCCCTCATAGAGCTGCAATTCCCAAAGTTCCCTGGGAAGAGGGATTGTTAAACCACTCTGGGAATTGTATTTCTATGAGAGAAATAGGAGGTCTCCTAGAAACTCAGCACCCTTAAGAAACTACAGTTCCCAGCTCTGACTGTTAAAGTGGGTATCATAGTGCTTTTAATGTCTGGTGTGCTTAAAACCTTTCATAAATTATATCTGGATGGCCAGGCATGAATTCATAATATATTCAAAAACAGCATTAAAAAGGCTTCAGTTTTGAGCTCATTTCAATAACGTGTCGATTTGGGGAATGTTTAAATATGCTTTGCCTCTTGATCAGCTTCTGTGATGGATACAGAATTATGAATAGCCAGTTTGTAGGGCAGGCAGTTACTGTTACATGATACCTGGAATGTGCGTGGCAGCAGTTGTTACCTGCAGCTTTGTCTGGTGGGATCAATCAATAAGAGGAAGGCAGAAACACAGGTTTAGCAAATGCATTGTTCCATTAATTCCTTCCAAATATTTGTGTTTATAATGGAGATCGTAGCAAGCATTGCGGTGGTGCTTTGTGGGGTCAGAATTTTGCATGCAGTGTTCTGATTTTTGATTATGATAGTCTGGAGGCTAGTAAATTGGTTAATTCATGTGGTGAGTCTCCTTTTAACCTCTGGTTTTCTCATCTCTCGTGGATTTTGTTGAGCAAACGAAGTAGCATAGAGAGGGCATTCTTTCGCAGAGTATTGTATCCTGAAAAAGCCTGGCAGCCTTTGTAGAGTTGGGGCTGCATCTTAATGGTGGAATGCTTTGCTTGATCCCTGGTAGCTCCAGTTTAAAAGGATCAGGTGATGGAAAGGGCCACATAAAACAAAACACAGGAGAGCTGTGGGCAGTTGAAGTAGACAAGATGCCCATATTCTACTCTAGGTGAACCACTGACCTGTCTCAGTAGAAAGCGGATTCATACCTTGAGATGCCTATACAGGCAATGCCAGGAACAGCGAATGCACAATTTATTTAAGGGCAGAATAAGCTTAGTTTATATACTTAGAACTGCCGAGACCATGTGAAAACACCTTCTTTTTGGCCAGAAGTTCTTCTTCTTCACCTTTAACTTTGGGTAGGTCATTCTTCATCATAGCATCCTCTCAGATACCCCTAAACTGCTCTTGGGTTTGAACCTGTTAGTTACTGAACTACGGCAGAAGCATAAATGAATGATCATTGTATAGTAGGTAGGAACTAGTCACTCCTACAGAGAAACTGCCACCAATGCAGGATGTAAACAAGGAGCAGTGCATGTGTTGTGCTCATTTGACATTATTATTATTGTTGTTGTTGTTGTTGTTATTATTATTATTATTATTATTATTATTATTATTATTTATTGGGGTGTCTGATGGGGAATTTGCACGGTTGCAAGATCTGCTGGAAGAAATCCCTGGGCTTTCATTGCCCTTGTGTTGAAGGACTTTGTCTATAAATTTTAAGCAAAATGTCATTTCTTTGCAAAATGGTACAAAAATGTACTTTGGGTTATTGGTGTGTGTGTGTGTGTGTGTGTGTAAGTGTTGAAAAATGTAATTATAACCCTTTAGTTATCACAGACCTTGAAAACCATAACACAACCACAGATATTTCTTATCTTCCTATTTGGGGGTGATGGGGATTGCAGTTAAAAACATCCTGATGTTCATGTGGAGACTGGTGTAAAGTCTTACAGTACTGCAGTTACGTTCGTTCATTCATATATATATATATATATATATATATATATATATATATATACTGTAATTTGTGACCATGAGCTATTTGGGCTTTTTCAACACACACACCACTTGCTTCTGAGGTGATTTGTAAATATTTCTGTGCAACAGAGCACATGGTCTTAATTGCAGTCTCTCTTATCTCATGGATCATATGTCAGCCTTTTCAACACTACGGTTCCTTTCTCTCCCTCCCACTTTCACATGCCCCCCCCCAAGTCAAAAGGCCAAACCCTGTATTCAGTCATAGGTACTTGGAGATGGGAGAGGGGTCTGCAAAATTTAGCTCAGCTTATTAGCCCTAATGTTCTCGCAGATGCTCCTGATTGGGGAAAGAGGCAAAGCTCCGTGGTAGAGCATCAGCCTGGCCCCATCAGTATTATTTATTAAATTTCTATATTGCCCTTCATCCAAAGATCACAGAGGGCGGTTTACGATATAAAACCCCCCAAATACATACCATAATAACAAATAAGAACGATACCCCCCTTGCATGGGTGGTTCAAGCTCTGGCATCTCCAGTCTGGACTTGAAATGTCCCCTGCCTCCAAGAATGGTGTAGGAATGCAGGATTGTGCTAGGTGCGTAGAACCTACAAGAGTAGGTTGGCACTGCTGATGATCATGATGACTGGGTTGGGGAAGCTTGGTCAGAACAGAAACGAAAAGCACTTTTGGTTTCCAGAATAGCTTGAGAAATATGGATGGATCCTTGGCTGAGATCTTTCTAAATGTTCCCTCTCCAAGGGAGGTGTGGAGGGGGAGGGGGACACCTTCTCCATGGGGGCTCCCTGTTTTTGGATTCCTCTCCCTGGCAAGACACACCTGGCGCCATCACTACTTCTTTTTAGACACCAGGCAACAACACTTTTATTTACACAGGCCTTTGGGTCTTGATTTTCTCCTTATGTTTTAGTGGGGTCAAGTTGAGTTGGATCTTCTTTCTTGTACATATTTTTGGGAGCCCTATAGCTGTTCCTACTCTTGTTTTCGTAAGTTCCTTTGAGTTTACCTTTCGGGGGATGGGGGTGGCAAAATGAATGCTTCATTGACACGGAAACCTAATTATTTCTTGAATTAAGTCATTATCCCTCTCAAGTATCTAATTGCAACCCTATGCATACCTCTGTAAAACTCCAGTGGAATGGATGGGTCTTGCTTCCTGGCTAAAAGAAATGTGGGTTAGCAAACAGATCAGTTAGTTGTTAGGAGTATGCAAGGGGGAAAGCTTTTTATTTTAACACTGTCACTTTCTACTATTTAGATACTGGTCTTCTGGCGCTATTATATGTGATCCATATTTCTTACCGGCATATTTTTTAAAGAGTGACTACGTTGTGATGGATTTATTTTATTTTTTGTTCTCGTACGTGATTCATACTGCTTACTGGCTTATTTTTAATGTGTAGCTTGTGTTTTGCGATGGATTATTCTGTGTGCACTCCCGCCCCCCGCCCCCCGGCCAGTGTCTCTCTCTAGCCTTAGGAATAGATGCAAGGCTTAATGCTCAAGCCCACTCATTAGGTCTGTGATCCTCTTGGCAATTACGCTGCTCCTTCTGAAATGACTTTGATGTATATTGAATTATATCTATTTTTAATTGCATAATGGAGCACTGGTCCTGTTTCATGTATTAGCATCCCTTTGAAGTTCTGAACTAAGGGATTTCCCCCTCCCTACCCCTTTTTAGAGGGATGGGGGAGATAGAGGGGGGGAGCTAAATAGATTTATTTGTCTTGGCATGCACAGATGAGCTTCTTCTTACATTGAGAAGAGGTCAAAATCGGGGATGGCAAGTGGGGTGGGTGGGAAGGCTGTATTTGTTCAAACAGGTCAAATCTCCCCACTCTATGCCCCCCAGTAAACATGGTGAGTGCTTCTCTATTTTGCTAATGCCTTCTTTTGAGTGTGTGGAATGCAAGGATGCCTGATCTTGAGAAAGGAGTCAAACAGAAATGGAAGCCACATTTCAGAGGAAGAGACAGTGACCAGGGAGAAGGCGCTGCTCTCCTTCAGACGAAAAACAGGCAGTGATGGATACAGGGGGGGGCACATTTCCCCCTTTCTCCTTTCTTCCCCCTTTCTCCTTATTCTCTCCCCCACCCCACCTCAGGTTCTTATTTTGTTTACTTACTTAGTTTGATTCATGCCATCTCTTTGTTTGTGAATGAACCTCACATTGACAGGGGAGACTTGCTTCACTAGGGTCTTTTGGGGGTTTGTGCAGGGGTGATTTAGTTCCCATGAAAGGATTAAGGATTCCTTTGTGTCAGCCTAAAGTCAACACGAGGTCTTTCTTTGCCTTTTGCTTGGGAAGCTGTACACAAATAAGCTTCTTTCTTTCTTTCTTTCTTTCTTTCTTTCTTTCTTTCTTTCTTTCTTTTTTGCCAATGGCAGATTACGATTTTGCTCCTGATTTCCATCGAAATGGCGACTTTTCTTCTCGGCCGCCAGAATTTCCATCTTTGTGCCATTAGCTAATTCCTGTTGGGTACATGAATGACCAGGAAATAATCCATGAAAATCCAGGTGCTTCAAAACCAGGCTGACTCCATTTTTTACTACCAAG